CCAGGCCAGGCCGGGCCCCCGGGGTTCCTGCGGCGCTGTGCTGGTTTGGGGCATCACGCAGCGGCCCTGGAGGAGCAGCCCCCGGTGTGGGCTGGGTGTTCAGCCCGCTGGGTGAGCAGCCCCCCGGGTGGCCGGACCTGGGGGGCTGGCTCTGCTGTGTGCAGTGGTGTGCAGGGCTGCGCTTCTTTCACAGGCCGGCCTGAAGCAGTGCCTGTCCGAATTCAGGCGGGAGCTGGCTTGGGTGGAAAGGCTGGATGTGACCTTGGGCCAGGTCGTGGACCCCATCTCACAGAGTGCTACTGACAAAGATGCTGTTGATCCTGAGAATGATTTCCAGAGAGAGATGAGCTTGTAAGTGTCAAAAAGGGAGATTTCTCGTAGGGTCTCAGCATGCTGCTGCGTGCTTGGAGTCACGCAAGTGTGCTGCAGGCTGCTACGCTGGCTGTCACCAGTGTCATGTCACTCTTGGGCCATGTATTTTACATTTGATGGCTCTGAATGTTTTCCAAAATAACTACAAATTAATGCTATAACATTTAACTTGTCTTGTGACTGGAAATAGTTTCCCTCATTGCAGCAGATTTCCATCCTTTGCTGAAAAGTTTATTTTAAAAGTTCCTTGATTGCAGCACTATGGTTTTAACACAGGATATGAATTTTTCTTTGTGCATTTATTTTGGTGTTATTACCCTTGTTTTGCCTTGCCGTTTATAATTCAACATACAAAACTGTAACTGGAAACTAGATAAATGTATATGTGCGAGATATAAGCATTAATATTGTACTGGCACCTAAATTGCTGTTAGTAGCAGTGAGTGCTGTAGGGCACAGCATGCTGATATAATTCTAGACCAATGCTTATAAGATCCCAGTATCAGCTTGCTTATGTGAGCAGAGTTTCTGTCGGCGCTGCGAGGTGCCCAGTGACAGAGCTGGTGCTGTGCTGTCTCCCTAGTTACCGGCAGGCTCAGGCTGCAGTCCTGGAAGCCCTTCCGCGGCTGCGTAAGCTCCAGGTTCCTACTCGAAGGCCAGATGATTACTTTGCAGAGATGGCCAAATCAGACCAACAGATGCAGAAGGTATGTGCAGTGAATAATGGCTTTCTTTCCTGTGCCTTGTATTGGGTTTAGCCTGTGTTAGGGGTTATCTTTGAGGTGTGGTCTGTGAATACTTACCTTCACCTCTTTGACAAATGCCTGTGACAGCAGTTGTGTTTGAAATTTTGTTTGTGGCAGGAAATTTCTTCCTCTTTAGGTATTTCAGTGCAATGTGAGGTTTTCCATAACAGTTTGGAATGTGAAGTAGAAGAGCACGTTTTATATTCTGTCCTGAATGTAATTAATGTTAAAAATTGAGACTTTTCTCTGTATGTGTGACAGTGATTGTGAAGTTGGCTGTGTTTATGCTCTTTGTCCTAAGACTTGCAGTCAACTGTGGCATTAATGTGATCCTTTTTCCCTATTTAATTACCACCCTTTGTTTATACTTGGTATATTTGGTTCTCTGTGTTTTTAAACTGTGTGCTATTGTATTAATCTATCATGGCTAGTAAGTCAGATTTGTGTAGGAAATAAGAATTTCACCAACTTGCTCCTTGATTGTGGTCTTTGTTCAAAACGGAACCCTAATTTTTGTTTTGGTTTTGGAAAAAGACTACATTGTGTAAGTTAGAAAAACTATGACATGGAGAGATTGTTGAGTTTTCTTCAGAGCTTTACTTTTAATAGTGACAAGAAGGAAACTATGAAGTCTTCTACATACACTTGAGTAGACTGACAAGATACTCTCATTTAGTGGTTCCATCAGAGCCCATTATAAAGCTGTGTCTTGTCTCTGTGTTGTTTTTTTCTTTTTAACCAGAGTTTGGCTGCAGATCAGTTCAGGAGTTTCTGTAATAACTGTTCCAGCCTTGAGTTAGAGAACGTTTTGCCTTATAAAGCATTATCTGATTGAGGCTTTTTTTTTTTTTTTTTTTACATTGAGAGTTCACATAATTATTGATTTCAGGACTGCACAGCAATCATAAAATTCTCTTATTTTCTTTTGCATTACTGATAAATTTTGTTTTTTCTATTCCCTAATAGATTCGACAGAAGCTTAAGAGTAAACAGGAAGCAATGGAGAGGTCTGAGAAAGCCAAACAGCTCCGTGCGATGAGAAAATATGGCAAGAAGGTGAGGAGGTGCTACAAAAGAGACCTACCTATGACAAGACTCTAGAGCCTGAGTGAGGAGCTTAGAAAACTGAGACCACAGTAATATGTGGAACCTGTCTAGTCTTCTGTCTAACTGGTTTGAAGGAAGACAGAGCAAAAGATGAAACATCTTTAAAAAACCCCAAAGTATGGGACATTACAAGGAACACGCTAACATTCTTTTTCTAATCTCAGGTGCAAACTGAGATTCTGCAGAGGAGACAAAAGGAGAAAAAAAATATGTTGAATGCAGTCAAGAAATACCAGAAAGGTAAAGTGAACTTGTCTAAGAGAGCAAATGTGTGATAGGAGTAGTGATGTGTGAGCACTGTAAGGCAGTGTGATGTGTGGTGGCAATCTGTAGTGCTGGGCAGTGAGCTTGAAAGGCTGCTGCTGTGCAGCATCGTGCCAGTGTCAGTGAAGATCCCCCCAAGTAGCTGTTCTTCAGTGAGAGTGACTTGTTGCTATTATTTGCTTAGACTGAAAATTTCTATTTTCTGTGGTGGTAGCTGAGCAACTGTTATGTCTTTGCTCTTGCAGGTCTCTCTGACAAGCTGGATTTTCTAGATGAAGAGCAGACATTGTCTCAGGGGAATAAAAAAGGCAGTGCAAGTCAACGGATAAAGAAGGGGTGAGACCAGAAAAGCTATTTAAATGCAGAATCTCTAATTTTTTTTTTTTTTGGTCTTTTAGGGGATCATTTTGTGGAACGAGAAAGCTGCTCTGATTAACAGTCATTAAAATAAGTCCACAATGGCTTTCTGTCCCTAGAGAGGAGAAAAACTGGCCAGAATGGAATGGAGACTGAAATGTGCTAATTTCTGCCTCTTTAATAAGAGGGGAAAGAAAGGTTTATGATGGCTGATGGGAGTCCATCAGCAGATACATGTACCTTCTTGAGAGCTTCCTGAGGAAAGGAATATAGGCAATGATACTGCTTGGTTGTTTTTCAGACCAAATGCCAAAAGACGATACAAGAATCAGAAGTTTGGTTTTGGTGGGAAGAAGAAGGGCTCAAAGTGGAACACAAAGGAAAGTTTTAATGATGTATCCAGCTTCCGGTCAAAAGTGGCTCATAACAAAGGCCCAGGGAAAGCAGGAAAAGGAGGGAAAAAAGCCCTCAATGTAAGTAAAATGTTGTATGCAAATGATCCTGGTTGGCTGGGAAGCCAGCCCTGGTCTGGGAGGGAGAGCTGAGTACATGATGGGTGCCTTCAGCATCTGGAAGTGACAATGTCTGTCAGTTGCAGACAGAGTTGAGGGTGATGGTTTGGTGTCTGAGCAGGGAAATGAGGGGAAGAGTCAGCAAGCACTGTTTATTGCTACCTGTGTCCCAAAACCTCCCTCTCCAGAGGTGCTGACAAATATCCTGTCCTTGGTATCCTCCCCAAGCTGTAGAGCTAGAACAAAGATTTAGGACACAAAAATAAAGACCTGAATCTATCCTTTTTGCAGAAGAGGCCTGGAAAGAGAGCAAGGCAGAAAATGAAGAGCCGAGCACGCTAAAGGACTGTGCTCCCCAGTGGGGTTCCTGATGTCTCTGTGTGTTGCAAGATACGTTTCCGCTGTCATCAGCTAACCGTGGAGCAAACTGGATGCTTGCAAGTGGCAAGAAAAAAAGTCAGTGGAAACTAGTGCCTTATCACTGATTTCTCCTTACTGCCCATTTTGTTGAAGGATTGTTTTCTACTTAAACCTGTGGGGTGTGAACGCATTAAATGGTTTGCACAGAGCTGTGTCTAATTCATGTGTACCTGTGTTATGAGTGGTGGCTGAAGCCTGCCCTTTTGTTCCCATCATTCTGACCGCTTTTTCCACAGCTACTGTTGACATATACTTGGTGAACTTCAGTTCTGAGTTATGTTGCTGATGTCAGAATAAGAAGTGTGTGAAGACTGTCAAGGATTTAAAGTGTTTTTTAGACTATTCATATAGATGGGTTTGGAAACAGCAGTGAGACAAATGCAGTGATCTTATAAATAGGTTTATTTCTGTAGCTGTTGTCAGGCTGCAATTCTGGACAGACTTATGTTCTCTCTTCCTTTTCTTGTTGTCTTCTCTTGCCAGAAATGTACCAAACTCGCCTAATAACAAGCAGGGCCTAACACATTAGATGTCATTAACTGCTTCTAAGTCGCGTGGCTTTGCCACTGCTACTGCAGCTTCTCAGACAGCTCCTCTCTGTGCCCCATGGCAGCCATTTATCTAGTGATCTCGGTTTTCCGGCGTGGGAAGTAGAGCCTGCAATCAGTACGGTCCATGTGAATCTGGGAAAGAAAGATGATGAATAGTCATGGGCTTTTGCTAGAATTAGTAGTAGTAGTAGTCCCTCCTGAGAAGAGTAATGCACAGTGTTCTTGCTGCTGAGAAATGCCCAAATGACAAATGAGTAGGGTACCACTTATTTGAGAATACACTGTCCACTGCTTTGTTTACGTTAGAACCTGGTGAAAAGGAAAACACCGTATGAAGCAGCATCGTGAGTCCTGATTCTATTATTTAACTCACTTCTGTACACACAAATTTCATTGCCTCTTTCTGCCAGCCTACTCCTACCAGCCATATCTAACAGTGTAAAGCCCCGCTGGGATGTCTGTCGCTAGCTTGTTATGAGTAAATAGTTTACCTGAAGTGTCATATGAAGAGTTGCAGAAGATTATCTTATTTTCTTATTTATCTTAGTTTTCTTTGAGGCCAAAATTAATCAGGCCCTCATTTGCCTTTCTTGAAACATTAATTTACAAAGTCAGTCATTGTCACAGCTATTTGTTTGTCAGATATGACTGATGTCTAGCTTGTTAATAAGATTTCTTTTCTTTTTCCTCCTGTTTATTCACGCTTCCCTAGATGAATCCTCACTGGTGTATTCTGCCTCGGGTTTACTTAGCTGATTATTAATTTTATGGTTCTGCTTGCAATTTGTTTGAAAGATACTGTACAGTAGCACATTTGTTTTCACCGTACTTATGTATGTCACTTCACATTGCTCACTACGCCATTTCTCCTGGCTGAATGCCTTAATAAACAGCCGTGACTACGTATGTGGCATTTGGCAATATGCTTGGGGTCGACTGTCGTTGTAGATGTTTTGCATGCAGGTTTCTCAGGGGAAGTCTACTGTTTCTGTGTTCACAAGCCTGTGCCAGTGTGAAGAGTCCTCTTGGGTGCAAATTTTAAAAACTTGCTGTTCATGAACAGTTCTGCTGATTCCTAATCCTTCCTATTTTCCATGTTTGTCACAAATTATTTGCTTGCACAAATATCTTTCAGTGTGATGGGCTGAACCTCTCTGAATCCTGTGAGGAGCTGAGTCCTTAGGCACTCTACTCACCAAAGGTGTTGTGTTCCAGCCAATTTCTTGGCTTTCAGTTTGTGGCTCTGCATATTTCTTTGTTGGCTCCAGTGCTGCTTGGTGAATAAGATTCAGGAACTTGTCTGTTGGTTTAAGAGACACAAATACAAATGAAAGAAAGTATGTTTAAAAACCAGTCACCTGTGGATGTCTGTTAAAATGGGACATGCTAATGCTGTCAAGGCAATAGCAAGGAAGCTACAGTTGGAGGCAACCTCTGTGCTTCTGCAGATGATCTTGTAAGAGAACACAGGGTCACATTTCTACTCAAATTTATCCTGATGAAGTTTCAAGATTTGCCTGCCTATAGTGTCCTGTCATCCCTGTCTACTGTATTGCAGCATCTTACTTTTTTTATACCACACCTAGTACTGACCAGCACTCCACATTAGCTGTCATCTTTCTCAGTTGCCTGAGACCTGCTCTGCCTTTCCCTGTTCCACCCACCCCCCATCAAATCCTTGACTAGAGCAGGATAGCTGACTGTTAAGGTTTTTAGACAAAACTGGCGTGTTAGAAATAAAGGAGCAGTTGCTATAAGGGTTCCTGTTGCCATTGCTCTGAAGCAAGACTCGGCAGCCGTTTCAGCAATATGTGGTTAGATAGAATCTGCAGTGACAGGCAACATGTATGTATAAAATATATTTCTAGATTTTTTTGTCTTCCCCTGAAAGAGGTTTAGATTTTCAAGCAGCATTTCATACTATGATAACTAAAAACAAAAATAAAAGCATAATTGCATGAATGAAAGCTTGTATTGACAATCAAAAGTAAGGGGAAGGGGCCTTAAAATGGGAGGGGAAAAACCTGCCTTACATTTAACAGAATCATGAACTAGTTTAACAGTCTTACATTGTCACAGGGGTGTTTCCACATATGTAATCTTTTAGACTTATTAGAATTTCTAAACCTTAGTTACTTTTTAATGTAATTATCACAAGCTCTCCAGCGATTTCTTACCATCTGCTGACTCTTCAATATTATCATGCCAAGACATAGGCTTCTTGGTGATCGTGTGAACTGGAAAGCAATGATGCAGGTGAATTACTTTTAACGTGAATATAGCACCACAGCCCAGTATCGGATGTTCATCATTGCAAATGTTGGTTCTGATTATTCCCTGATCTGGGTCCAGCTACTTCACTGAAGTTGTAAAGGAAGAACAGCATGTGGATAGAAGAACAGGAGTTGGAGTACTGACTAGTAGCAACTTCCTAGAAAGGGAAGGGTGTCAGCATGCTGCAGGCCCTTCTACCGTGGCAAGGTTCCACCCCACTTCAGTGGTGGCCTGCAGAATGCCAAGTTTCAGGAAACTATTTTCCTTTGGTTTGCTTTTGTTTTATTGTACAAGCTAGATCTGAGTGAATCTGTTCTCATTATCTATCTGTGCCAGCACAGATTATGATATTCAGCCCAGGTGCTGAAGAAACATGTAGTGTGGGGCTCTCTACCCCATCTTAGCTCTTGCTCGGGATCTGTAAGTTCCAGATCCTGAATAGCTGCCTCACTTCTGCATTACTGAGGCACCGTCTGATTGCCCGTGTCTGTGTTCTGTCTTGGAGCCTGCATACCGGTTCCTTAGGCGAAAGGAAAGCACACCAGCTGCTTCTGTCCGATCCCACCTCTCTCTG